GTGGAAGTAACTTGTGTGCGTGTAGATATATTCGTCGGACGTGATAGAATAGTTGTTCCCTGTGCGAGTGTTCATATTCTGAGAACTACCCCGGCGCCTGCGCTTTTTTACAAGGGGTTTTCTGACGCGCCATATCGTGTGAGCTGGTTGTTCGTTTGTTGCTTGTTTATATATGCAATAATACTAGAGGGATAAGAGAGCAATTTCTTGTGCGGCTGGCCGTACGGTATTATTATTGTTTAAAAACTGATGCGGTTTCGAACGGAAGCGCATTTATCGATCGCTATTTTTGTAGATGAAGTGACATATTATTGTGGCGTGTGTTTTTATCCGTGTCGTGCGTAGTGTGCGGTGATGAATGGACAGTCTTCGTTGCCCGTCGCGGGCATAAAGACTTCGCCGAGCTCCCGGCCGCCGATAGCGGGTCCCGGGAGTTACTTGTACACGTCAAGTAGTACCCTGTTGGGCGCTCGTTCTGCGACGGGGCCGGCTGTTACAGCTGATAAGCCTTCCGTGAGACCCGTACCGCCCCCGACTCTGCCAAAATACACAAATTCGTTTAACGCGGGCGGAGTGCGGGATCGCGACCGCGATGGTGGAATAGGCGGCAGCTACAGATTGGCAAGTCTCGATCGTCTTGCAATGAGACAACGCCTGATCGAGCAGACCGCGAATAATGGAACCGCTAATGGACTCCAACAAAACGGTACTGCCGACAATAAAGAAAATACTACAACAATGTCGAGCACCGCCGTCGGGGTGAGTCATTAGATGAGATAGAGGTTTTTGAATCAACTTAGCGTCTTATATATGTAACCGTACCATTGAGTACTTATATATATAAAATAAAAATTATACCATTTTTTCCAAATGCGGGATCTTTCTATGGCACATATGCAGAAATAAAGAAATAGTAAGCTTAGTGCAAAGTATAAGCGATGAATTATTTGTAGTTTGTATTATTATGAACCAGTAATTTCATTTCACATATGCGTTTCAATTTAAGAAATGCATTTGCTGATAAGAGGCCTGAATTTTACTGTTAGCAGTCTCAAATCAATATGGGAACGCGAGATGATTGTGTTATCAATACGAACACGCGTACTTTAATATATGTATATTTTTTATAATTTCAAAAAGTTGCAATTTAGAGCTTCCGTACAGTAAAATTTCCGAACACGCACAATTTTGTTAGAAGAATTTCGTTGAATGCGTTCAAGTACACGCCACGATCAACTCAAAAGTAAACTTGTCGAAAGTGGCATTGCCTTGAGGCATGTTGCATGAACTTCTCGATATGTGTAATAATAACTGAAGGGGTTACACCACTGTAGCTGCCTAAAAGAACGTATGTTATTGCCATTTTTTTTCGGGCGGAAGGTAATGTAATAAAATCATGATATTAAATATAGTTATTTATTGTACATTAAAGTAACAAAATAAAATATAATTGTAAAAAAAAAATTAAAAACAACGGTACCACAGCCATTTCGGCGAGCCGCGTCAAATTGGAGGCGCTCCGCGGCACGCAAAATAACTACAACAATTTTAATTTTTTTTATTCGAATTTTCAATAGTATATTTAAAATAACATTTTTAAGTGCCCATCGTAGCGGATTTGAAAAATATCGATTTTTGTTCCTTTGGCGAGCACTTTATTAACTTCCCGAAGGAGAAATTTATGTTTTCATCAAAAAATCCGATTCGCTAATTTTGTTTTCTCGACGTTTCAAGCCATTCTGAATCGAATGAGACCAAATTTGAAAAAAGTATGTGTGTGTGTGTGCGTGTGCATCAACAGATTTTTTACCGCAAATCGCCGTTTTCTCAAAAACGGCTGACCCGATTTCAAATATTTTAAAGCCATTCGAAGTATCTCGATGAGGACTATTGTTTGTCAGTTTTGTGCGACCATCGGCTAAGCCGTTCCTTCGTAAATAGCAGAGAAGTGAAAAGTTTTTTGTCCACGTTTTAGCCCGCAGTTCTGAATCGATTTTGAAAATTCAAAAATCGTTCGAAAGATATTGGTTGGGAATCGACCTGATTAGTTTTTGGTAGAGATCGGCTGGGCCGTTTTCTTGTAATAAAGTTTAAAACAAAAAAAATTCGACGATTTGTATGATTATTTTTTTGACGGTAGATTCCATAGTCTTCTATATCATACTAAAATATTACGGCCCTACGACAACTGGTTCAGCATTAAAAATTCGTCAAAGTTTGCAAAAATTGGTATCGTTTTTTTTGGCATTTGTCAAAATTAGACCTTTGAGCGACGTTTTCTCAAAAACGCCTGAGCCGATTTTAGAAATTTAAAAGCTATTTGATGTATTTCGGTGAGGACTATCGTTTGTCAGTTTTGTGTGACGATCTGCCAAGCCGTTTTTTTGCAATTTGAAAAAAAGTGTTAAACTTTTCGTCCACATTTAAGCTCATCCTACCGAACCGATTTTAAAAAATCAAAAACTGTTCGAAAGATATTAGTTGGGAATGGTACTGATTAATTTTAGGTGAAAATCTACCGAGCCGTTTTCTTGTAATTAGCTGTTGAAAAAAAGTGTTAAACTTTTCGTCCACATTTAAGCTCATCCTACCGAACCGATTTTAAAAAATCAAAAACTGTTCGAAAGATATTAGTTGCGAATGGTACTGATTAATTTTAGGTGAAAATCTACCGAGCCGTTTTCTTGTAATGAACTGTTGAAAAAAAATTTAAGCCGATTTTCATGGAACTTTTTTTGATGATATACATCATGGTCTTATAGAACTTACTGTAATATTACGGCCTTCTGACAAGTAATTTAATTTTAAAAATTTGTCAAACTTTGCTAAAATTATTATCGTTTTTTTTAAAGTAGGATTGATGAAGTATATTATTTACACATTTTTTTTTGATTAAGTCGATTATTTACACATATCGGGAAGTTCATGTAACTTGCCTCAAGGCTAAATACCAAACCAACTAGTTCAAAATCGTTGAATTTCAACGAAAAAAACGGATAGTGATTTGTAATTTTTTTTTTAACAGCAATCATAACCTTACGTCCTATGAGCTGTTGGGCTAAAACTTCTCCTTACTTCGTATTTTTTAGATGGTTAATCCATCCATATTTGATTATTTTGTTATTAGAATTAATCTAATGGGTGACTTTGTTGGTGCACCAATGCCGGGAGAGGGCTATTTTCACTTGGAAACATATTGCTATCTATATTTCCAAGTGAAAATTGTTGTCACTGCTGCCTGACAACAGGCTGCTCGAAGTGGGTATCGAACCCGGGACCTCTGATTCAGGTCCTGTCGCTCTTAACCGTTTACCTACGGGCGAGCCCATTTGTTAATAATTGATGAACAAATTAACATATAGAAGATCTATGATGGGCACTTAAAAATGTGATTTTAAGTATACTGTAAAAAAAATCGAGTGAAAATAGTTCAATTTGTTGTAGTTATTTTGCGTGCCGCGTTGTAAAATCGTGTTTTGAGAAAAACGCGTTTAAAGTTTTGAAAGAAATTATAGATAAGAAAAAATTAAAATAATATCAGTTTAATATTTTTTACTGTTAATCTGATATCCCAGCAACATACAGATGCCTTTTTATTTTTATAATTTTTTTCTTATTTTCTTCCTTTGATGATTTTGTATCAGAGCTTCCTACTTTTGGCACATCCGTCAAAGACCGTTCGGCATGCTTAAGACGTTTATAATCGACTTTAAGACAAAAATTACATGTTTAGATGCCAATATTAATCTCCAAAACTATTTTCATTTATAAAATACTGCTTAGGCCATCGTTGAAATTATCCTCAGCAATATCGGCCGCAATATAGTCAACCCTTATATGTGTTGACTCTGCACTGTTCATCTATTGGTTAAAAATGCTTTTACAGTTAATTTATGCAATATAAATATATCAGTATATTTAAGAAGATACACGTTGTCATTTTTCTTTATAGTATTTTTTGTTAATGAATTTGAGCGGTGTCGGTTCGAAGCAGCCCGACGCGCATGGGAAAAAAGCTCATGATTACAAGTAAAAAAATAAAGTTTTAGGTATGGAATATTTTTCCACATATTCTAAAGGGTTCAAAGTATATTTTAAGTCTAAAAAATTTTTTTTGGTTTTTCGAAAAATCTACAGTGGTGTAGGCCTTTAATCAATCGAAATTGAGATTTATATATTTACATAAAATTTTCAACTGTTTATTTCGAAAATAAATTTTTCGCTTTCACTAAAAGCTAAACATTGCTATATCTCAAAGCATTTAAAATACATATTTGTAATTATATTAATTATACTTAAACGTACGTTAGGACAACATTGTAGCGTATTATTCCAAATGTTAATTAATTCATATAACTCAACTAATTTTCGTGCATAAACTTTATCGCCAAATTTCACGAAAAAAGACTAAACATTTTTTAAGAAACTTTATTTTGTAAAATATTAATAGTCCAGTCATTTGGTGCAAAAAAAGGCTGTTGCCGGTACAGTACTCCGGGAATTCTGAAAATTAGTAATCTTATAGATTTCGAGGTGCGCTTTACGAAAATCAACTTTGCCACCTCAAATTTGAACGGCAAGTTGCCGCCATATTGAAAAAATGGCGTCAAAAAACAGCTTTTTTAAAATATCTCCTTTTTGGCTTATTCTAAGATAAAAGTATCGATGTACGAATTAAATTAGATAAAATTTCCTACAATTCTTTAGAAAACCGTTTTTTTGTAAAATTGATAGTTTGAGAGTACGGCCGCCTCAAATTCTTTGCTGCTCCCGCCGTAGTATCAAATCTCTCCATATATTACAGCACTTTGAACTTGACCATATTCTTTCTAATAAATTAATATTTTCAATGTTAAATTAAGCGAATAAGATCTAGAAATAAAACAATTCAAATATTTTTCAGTCTTTTTGCTGATTTTTTAACACTTCAATGGCAAAGTAGCTATAAGTAAGTATAGTCCAGTCGTTTGGTCGTTTTGCCGGTACAGTACTCCGGGAATCCTGAAAATTGGTAATCTTATAGATTTCGAGGTGCTCTTTACGAAAATCAACTTTGCCACCTCAAATTTGAACGGCAAGTTGCCGCCATATTGAAAAAATGGCGTCAAAAAACAGCTTTTTTAAAATATCTAAATAAAATAATTCAAATATTTTTCTGTTTTTTTGCTGATTTTTTAACACTTCAATGGCAAAGTAGCTATAAGTAAGTAGCTTGATGTGTTAAAAAATCAGCAAAAAAAAACAGAAAAATATTTGAATTATTTTATTGCTAGTACTCATTCGCTCAATTTAACATTAAAAATGTTTATTTATTAGGAAGAATATGGTCAAGTTCAAAATGCTGCCATATATGGAGAGATTTGATACTACGGCGAGAGCAGCAAATACTTTGAGGCGGCCGTACTCTCAAACTATCAATTTTACAAAAAAACGGTTTTCTAAAGAATTGTAGGAAATTTTATCTAGTTTAATTCGTACATAGATACTTTTATTGTAGAATCAGCCAGAAAGGAGAAATTTTAAAAAATCTGTTGTTTGACGCCATTTTTCCAATATGGCGGCAACTTGCCGTTCAAATTTGAGGTGGCAAAGTTGATTTTCATAAAGAGCACCTCGAAATCTATAAGATTACCAATTTTCAGAATTCCCGGAGTACTGTACCGGCAAAACGACCAAATGACTGGACTATAAGTATCTGATATAAGATAATACTGGCCTTGATATCATTTAATGATTTATATCAATCGTAAGAATTTTTA